GTGTACTCTTCATTTTTTAAAAAATCTGGCATTTTGGGTTTTTTTGTGAAAAGAACTACTGTTTCACATATTTTCATGCAATTAAAGTTTATCACTTCCAGGAGTTAAAAAGAAAAAGGTTATCCAAGTCCTCTATGATACAAAACGATCTTTTCTTAAGGTCTTTTAACTTACATAATTTTATAAACATAGGTAAAAATCAGCTCACCTTCCTGCAACAGCGTAACAACCTTTCGTGATTCCAGCAGGGGGCGCTGGAGAGCGTGGCCCATAATTCAATAATTCAGTCTCCTGCCAGCTTTCCTCCGCTTTTTTTTTTTTTACAGTTTTCTTTTTTTTATTAATATTATTGAGAAACAAATAGCAATGAGCCAGTTTCAAAACAGGTTAGTAGGAAAGTCACAATAATTAATACACTGCATATTGTTGTCTTTGTAGTAGTTATTCATAGGACAAGATGCAGACATATCCTGTCCAAACACTATTAGTACAAATCTTTATTCTCATTGAATTAAGAGAATGTATCTGTATATCTATCCCAACTGTTTTGTATATACAGATACAAAATGGTTCTTCATTTATATCCCCTTTTTTTTAGTTTTGTCAGAGAAGGGTATTCCATTGCCATTTAAATATTGTAGGTGCATGAATTCAGCAAAATAATCCAATATACTCCAGCAGTCCATAATAGTAGTGGGTTATCCATAGGACTGGCAATGTCAGAAGTTAGTGAGTTGAGCCCTTTACAGCTCAGCATATTAATATGGCTTTACTTTTTATACCTTGTTTTTATACTTTTCTGTTGGATAGTTAAGACCAATATAAAGCAAGACCTATATAACAAAAAAATGTAATTTCTGTATCTGACAAGGTCAGTCAAATCCCTTCAGGATTTAGCTTGAAACCTTGTACCGCAGTTTGTAGATCTTTCGTCAGCGTCAGCCATGTGGATGAGTCACGACCTTCAGCAGGTTTTTGAAACTAGCAGTTAATTGGTAGGATTCTCACCCTGACTAACTATATATGCTGATACCTGTGAATTAAGCAACTGCAGTGAAGATGGCAATGTGCAGTACTAGGGCCATGCTTGGAATGCCTGTCATTCTGGTCTTCTAAATACGTACTGCTCTTAATGTCATATTAATTATTGCTATATTGTCTCTCAAGTAAATTTTTGTTTTAAAAAAAGGTAATGAATGAGAACAAGAGATAAGAAAAAAATGCCATAGGACTGTCTTGCTGCAACGCTGTATACAGTTAGATTTCACCCGCTTTTGACAGTAAGGACGAGAGCACTCACCAGCCCAGCCTGCTGCTGACTTCAGCCTCGAGTCTCAACCGAACACATTTCTATTGGCCTGCTCTGTGGTATTTTGTTATGGCTGACTTAGACGAATTCATCATTTTCTACAACAAACCTTAAGTAGAACAGAAGCTGTCAAACAGGAAACACTGTCATATAGGTGGGGGAGAGATCAGGGTAAGCCCTAGGCCCCCACTAACCTGCTAGGAGCAGTTCAGGTTGTTCTAAGGCAACTTAAAATGAAGCCCTGTTGCTGCAGGAAGCCAGGGAGTTGACAGGCATGGTGCACCCTGCAGGCGTCTTGGACAGGTCAAGGGTCAAGAAGTCCCTGAGGGCCAGCAAGGAGGGATTTCCATGCCCACACAGCCCTTCAGATGTGAAGAAGAGGCAGCCCTGGCTCCCTGCTCCTGTGTCCCTAGGCTGGGAGACCTTGCTCTACCAGAATCAGCATTAGCTCTGCTCTTGTTACAAAGGCAAAACCTCAGGTCACCTGAAGGACCCAGTCACACTGGGATGTGTACATTTGTTTTCTTTCTTTCTTTCTTTCTTTCTTTCTTTCTTTCTTTCTTTCTTTCTTTCTGTTTTTAGACAGGTCTCCCTATGAAGTCTCACTATATATCTCAGGTTGACCTTTAAACTCAGGAGCCTCCTGCCTCAGCCTCCCAAGCACTGAGATTATGATCCTGCACCACCGGAAACCTGCATCTTAACAAGATCCTCAGGTGACTAATATTCACAAGTGGATTAAAGTTTGAGAGGCACCATTTCACTACTCATATTAGCAAAAAAAAGAGGAAGCTTGGGTCTAGCTCTTCAAAGGACTCCCACCCCTTTCTGTTTGGTAAAATGTATGTATGGTCTATGGACATAAACCCTTCTACAGACTCTGGACCTGAGACTATTGGAATTGTGGAATGAAAGAACTTAGAGGGTAAGCTGTCTGTGTTGGTTAATTTTTCTTCTTGTTGAGATAAAATATTTGACACCCATAGTTAAAGGAGGAAAGGTTTATTTCAGCTCAAGTTCTCTAGAATTTTGAGTCCATAATCAGCTAGCTCCATGGCAGAGAGGAATAGCGTTGGGGAATCACAGAGGAAAAATGGTCCCTAGTAGGCAGAAGGCACCAAGCTACAAGGTCAAGCAACCTTAGCAGCTTCTTTCTGCCCCATTCATATTTTATTCAGGCTACTTGGATTAGGGCAATGCCAAACCACTCAGTGGACTGATTTAGCAATCACACACCCTTAACCCCTACATCACACACTGTAGATCGAGCCACTTCTGCAAAGCCCTATGACCACATGAGGCTTTGGGGTCATCTAGACACAGCCATATCACCATCCAAATGTAAAAGACTTGCTGAGATTCTAAAAGGGGACAGTGTGCGCTCCTGTCTTCTGCAGCAGTGCCAAGCATAGTGCGATGCTGCTTGGCAATGGAGCCCCAGGGCTTTGGTCCCAATGTGTAGGGACTTGCTGAATGCTAGGGAGTCACTCAGGAGGTCCGTGCTAGGTCATTCAGCACCTCCTTCTAGAAGAGCAGCTTATAGAGTCACAGGTAGTGACAGCAGAAAGATAGGGTTGTTCAGTTTAACCAATTACTACTCAGTGCTGTGCATTTTTTTTCATCCAGCAGTTCTATTTTAATTTTTGATTGGTGCATCAAATGTTACATATTTATGGAATACGATGTGATATTTTTATTTATATATACACTGTGCAATGGAGGAACCACCATACTCTTTTCAATAGTAACTGTATCAATTTGCACTTAATGGTTCTGATTTCTTCACATTGTTAGTAGCACTTGTCTGTCTTTTTATAGCCATCCTGAAAAACGTGAAGGAATACTCACCATGGTTTTTCTGGATTTTATAGTATTTCTCTGAGGATTATTTATGTTGATTACCTTTTTGTATATCTCCTCACACTTGGACATCTTTAGAAAAACATTTGCTTATTTTTCTAAATTGCATTATTTGCTTTGCCTTTGAGGTATGCTTGTGTGTATTCCTTACTTTGGAGATTAGTTCTTTGTATCTGCAAGCTCTCCAACAACATATTCAATCAACCAAAAAACAAAAATATTTGGAAAAAATTCTATCTTCCATATTGAAAATATACAGGGATCTTTTGACTGTCTTCAAGGATGAAAAGGTCCTTTAAAGAGTTCTCCAAATACAGCTTTACTAACTGCAATGAAACACACATGTCTGACAAAACAAAAACAAAAAAGGGAGATATAAATAATGGACCATTTTATTGTGAAAAAATAAATGTATATACAACGTAGTTAGGATAGATAGACAGCTACTTTCTCTTAGTTCATTGAGAAGAAAGATTTGTAGTAATATTGTTTAGACAAGATATCATGTCTACACCTTGTCTTCTGAATAACTACTATGAAGACAACATTATGCAATGTAATAATTATTGTAACCATCCTACTAACCTGTTTTGAAACTGTTTCATTGCTATTTTATCTTTTTTTCTCATTAAAATGAATTTAAAAAGAAACTTAGACAATGAACAAAACAAAAAAAGAAAATACACAGGGTTTTTCATGTCATTATCCCATAAACAAAAGAGAGTAACTATTTACATAGGATTTACACTCTGTTAGATATTGTACATAATCTCAAAAAGATTTGGACTATACAGGAGGATGAGTGGAGGTTCTATGCCAGCACTATGCCATTTTATATAATGGACCTGAGTTTCTGTGGGCTTGAGTGTCCGTGGACGTCCATCCTGGAATCAATCCCTCACACTTACAGATGGACAACTGCATGACAAAATATACTCTTAACCTTGAGGAGATTTCTATTTTACTGCTGTCTTAGTTATTTTCTCTTGTTGCTGAGACAGAACACCAGACATCCAAAGTTAAAGGGGAAATGCGACGGTGAGCTCAGTCTGTCGACAGTCCAGTCCCTGCTCTCTGGCTCCAAGGCAAGGTGGCACATGGCACAAAGGCAACAGACCACAGTGCCTTAAGACAACAGAAAGAGAAGAGAAGAGAAGAGAAGAGAAGAGAGAGAGAGAGAGAGAGAGAGAGAGAGAGAGAGAGAGAGAGATCTTCCTGCCCCTTCTGTGTTACCCAGACTTCTGGAATTAGCAAGGTACGAATCAAGTGGTTGGACAGATTCATACTGTGCACTTTTAATTGTTCCAATTTTCTCATGTTCTTGTCTTTTCTATATTTTGCAACTAATAGAAATTACTGCTCTCAACCTGCCTGTATGAACAGCATATCCTTCCCCTGCCTCTGGGTTATTTCTAATATGGTGTGGAATGGATAAGTGGATAGGTTCAGAAATTACAGCCTGTGAGAAATAACCACCAAACTTGAGAGCTGGAGAGAATTTCCAGTAAGATCATAATAAGCTTTTGTGTGGTTCAACTATATGGTGATTATTTTCCTCATAATCTCATTCTCTTTTTCTTTTAGAAACCCAACAGTGCCTTATCCCATTGAGAATTTGATGGTTTTGTTTTCAGTCCTGGGGACCAAACTCGGGACTTTGCACCTGTCAAGCCCAGCCCATTGAGACTTCAGGACAGTTAAATGACATGAACATAAATGATCAAGTAACATAAGTTCAGTGAAATTATTACACACTTATGACGAGTTGTAGAACTCAAATTGAAGTCTGAGCGGATGGATGCGAAGCAGGGCGCCTGAACGGGCAGGAGCCATGAGCGCCGCCCGGTCCCAGTTGAGCACTGATGATGCCTTTGAGCTGTCCCTGGAGGACACAGGTCCTGGGCCCGAGTCCAGTGGTGTCACCCGCTTTGGGCCGCTGCACTTCAAGCGCCAGTACCGGTTCGAGGCGGCCGACGAAGACAAGCAATCCCAGCTGCGCTATCAGAACGTGCATAATGATGAAGAGGTAGCCCAGCCTTCCTTCTCCAGAAGCAGATGAGGGAGCCAGCACCAGGGACTCTGCCCGAACATCCACCCGCAGCTCCCAGTGGTCTTTTAGTACCAGCAGCGGCACCACACAGCGCTCCTACAATGCCTGCTGCAGCTGGACCCAACACCCCCTAATTCAGAAGAACTGCCGAGTGGTGCTGGCCTCCTTCCTGCTCTTGCTTCTGGGGCTGGGGCGGATCCTAATTGGTGTGGGACTGGAGGTGGCCCCATCTCCAGCAGGTGTCTCCAGCGCCTTCTTCTTCGTGCCGGGCTCCTGTTGCTGATCCCGGGAGTCTACCACGTGATCTTCATCTACTGCGCCGTCAAGGGCCACTGAGGTTTCCAGTTCTTCTACCTGCCCTACTTCGAAAAATGAGCGAAGGTTGGATGTCTTGATTCAAGCAGCAGGACACTGCTTCACCTCTACCGGGCGCTCGCGAGACCCAAGACCTGTTCAACTCACCCCATCTCCAGGGAGAAGTTCGTCCTGGACTGTGGAAGCGCCCAGCCTCCTCAGGAATTTGCTCCGGAAGTTTAGGGCGCAGACACCAGCTGGGAACACCAACCTCGCCTGCTCTGTGTCTTAAGTTATTCTTAGGCTTTGGGGCAATTTGGTTGATGTTATTTTGTGCTAATAAAAGGATGGTTAATTCCGGGGGGGGGTACCTCAAATTGAAACCAAAAAGAAAGAAAGAAAGAAAGAAAGAAAGAAAGAAAGAAAGAAACATTCAACAAAAGGCAGAAGAAAAACTAATACAGAAAAAGTTTCTAGAGAAAAAAAATCAAGAAATCTGCATATAAGTCACTAGGAATATATGTGCAAGACCCTGCACAGCCTGGGGACACTGTATTTGGCTCATCTTTATACCTCCAACATTTGACTTGCTAAAAATGCAATAAATATTTAAACAGATCACAGAAAGGAGAGAAAGAGAAAATCATTTTTTTATTTTGGGAGACAGACACTTAATAGCAAATACCACTAAAAGGAGAGGGACTTCTAGAAAGGTCAAATGTGATTTTAAAAACAGAAAATGAGCCCATCACAGTGGTGCAAACCTGTAATCCTGCTACTTGGGGGGCTGAGGCAGGAGGATTACAAATTGCAGCTCAACCTGAACAATTTAGAAAGACTCGGACTCAACATAAAACATTTTAAAATTGGAGGTTGAACAGCCACCATAAAAGGTGATCATAGGAAGTGTAGTTCAGGAGGAGACTGCCTAGTATATCGGAGGTCCTTAGTATCCTGAAAACAAAAGTAGAAAGTTAAAACAAAACAACAACAAAAACCTGGTGGCTGTTAAGATTTATTGTTAGCAGAAGCATGGCAGAGAAGCAGAAATAAAGGGGGTGAGGGGAAGCTTTTAGTAACTCTGAAGACCCAGAGAGGCTAGAGGGCAGGGACATGGGGGTGATCCCCGGAATTGAGACACGGAGGATGAGACTTTATGAACTAATGCTAGGGGCAGAGTTTGAGGTTCAGTGATACATAAGGAGCTGACTGGAGGCCGGAAAGGTAGCAGGAAGTCGTGTCCAGGACTGGCGTGGGGAAGAAGGAGGAAGTGGTCACGGGGAACATACGCTGTTGTTCTGGGGGATTCAGTCATGCTGAATTAGGGTCATGATAATTTAGTAGTTTGTACTCGGGCCAGAACCTATCAGAGGAAGAACATGAAAAGCGAAAGCTATGCAAGGAAAGAACTGAACTATTTTTCTTGGTGTTGCAGGCAGCTAAATTAGATAGAAATATTGTAGGCAGTTAGACAGGACTAGGCCCTCAAGGAGACAGTATGGAAGACAAGGTGACTTTACAACTTTGGGAGAGACAGACTGCTGCTGTCCTCAAGAGAAAAGAGTGAACAAATGCGGCCACTTACTTTCCTAGGAATGAGCATCAGGGATTGATATTCCAAATAGGTATCAATCACCTGGAAGCCAGAGAGTCACTGACCCAACCCCTACAGGAAGAGCCCATATTCTGTGTTCATGCCCACTTGCTACATGACTTGCTTTCCCATTCGATCCTGGATTTAATCAATTTTACCTGAGCAATTGTGTTTGTAATCTTATTGGCTGATCATAGTTTTGTCCCACCTCATGCCCACCTAAGTGAGTTCCCATGTTCTCCACCTTAGACTTGCCTCACCACGTGGTCTTGCTCTATAAAAAATCCCTCAAAAAGACAGATTCAGGGGCAACCTGCTCAGGTACCCCTTCTGTCCCTCTCTCGGACAGGAGCTTTCTTTGCTCTTAACCTCTACTGTTCCTAAAATTCATTCTTCGGTTTTAGAGAACACGAACTTGGCCCAGGTATCTCCCAGGTTAGAAGATTCATTCCCCTATATCATTGGGAGCTGTCTAAGGCATAGATCCTTCTGCTATAGAGAATATGGGTTCTAATGGGTGTGACAAATATTGGCATGCATGTTACCATTCGACTCCATCAAAAAGTTTCTTTCTGGCTCACACATTGGCACACACCTATGATGCCAGCACTCAGGAGGCTGAAGCAGGAAGATTGTCATGAATCTGAGTCCCATTCTGGCTACACAGACCCAGCCTCAAACAAACAAACAAAAAGTTCCCTTCTGTCACGTGGCAGGGGTCAATTTCCATTTTCTCCCACTGCACACAGACGCTGCCATAGCATCAGCAACAGTCCTGAATATCTAACACCTAGGAAGATGAAAGAACGTTCATGCAACTATCATCCCAAATGTGCACCTTAGCATGATGAAAGGTTTGCATGAGACTGGAGAGAGGTCCTCATGAACAGGATCATCACCTCTCAGAGTAAGGAGAAGGGCCAGGAGTGGTGGTGCACAGCAGGAATCCCAGTGCTCAGGAGCTGAGGCACGAGGACTGATTGCCCTGAGTTCTGGCCTTCACAAATAAACAAAACAAAAATACAAAGTAGAGACAAACCAGCCAACTCAGCTTAACTTTTTTCCTCGAAAGCAAAGACTCTCAGAATATTCTTGTGTATCTTCAGAGTCACTTGGAAAAGCTCGTCCTGGGGTCCTATTTCTGGCCCTCCTGGCTCCACAGGTCTGAGGCTGAGCCAGAGAATTTACATTCCAAACATGTTGCTATCCACCACTCCAGAGTACACTGCAACACATCCTCAACATGGAAATGAAGAGATGCTTTGACATGCAAAATAGTATATCCTAGCTAGCAGCACTCTAGGAGGAAAAGGCAAATGATCCCAGCATGGCTGTGGTGAAAGGAACAAAGGCACTTGTGTAAGCTCTGGTTCTTCTGAATAGAGGTATGAGTTTTACTCAGATTATTTGAACTTTATATACCATGATCTACCAATCAGCAAAGTGGGGATAAGGAAAATATCCCATAGATTGTGAGAATTAAGTGAAACACACACACACACACACACACACACACACACACACACACGTGTGACTATTCCATCTGAGATGGGAGACTAGAGTGGGGCAAACTGGCTGAACAAGGGGGCGTGGCCTGTCGATCACAGAGACCTGGGTACAAACACAGAACATGGTTCCCAAGCCCTGCACCTGGGACCAATTAGAGGTACTGTCTTCCATTCTTCTTTTACCACTGGTGAAACCAGTGAATTGGCTTTGCTAAGAGGGCAGAGATCCGATGTCAGGCAAGGACCTGAGATGCAAAACGCCTGTGGCCTCTGTGGCTCCAGTTTGCTCTGCAGCGCGGACACCTTTTCCTACTTTAGTAAATGTCAATCCCCACTCCCTTTTTTGCATCTTTTATCCAACTCTTTGTTCAGGGTAACAACCTGGCTCTCTCAGGGAGCTCAAAAGCCAGTAACAAATCCTTCCTCCTTTTCTTCAATCTCAGCATGGGTGGAATTTTGAGCGACAGAATGAAATCGTAGATTCACAAAGTAAGTTCATCTCATGTAAATTTTCCAGGACACCAGAGCTTTCATAAAGAAATGCAGACTTTGAAGACAGGGTGGAGCTCAGTGTCTGTGAACTGGGTTTGGTGAAGAGTAGAGTGATGAGAACAGGGAGAACTAGCAAGCCTGATCCCCTGACTCCCCTCATGCCCCTGTCTTCAGATATGAGGGTGGTCCTACTTCCAGAAGTGGGGAAAACGCTGCTGCCCTGAGAGCCTTAAGACCTACTTCAGTTGGGCGTGGTTGTGCACATCTGTAATCCCAGCACCCTGGGAGGCTGAGGCAGGAGGGTTGAGCATTTCAACCCAGCCTTGGTAACTTATTGAGACCCTGTCTCAAAATTTAAACATTGAGGGCCAGCCAGATAGCTCAGCGGACTAAAGTACCTGCTTAGGCAGAGTGCTGCAGCAGGGTGGGGGGTGAGGGGCAGTGTTTGATCCCTGGTGCTGTGCTGGCCCTGCCCCCCAGGGCACACTGAGACAGCTATTGAGACTGGGCGTGGTGGTGCGCTCCTGTAATCCCACCACTTGGGAGGCTGAAAACAGGAGAATCCCTGAGTCTGATCTATGTAGTGAGACTCTGTAGACCCTATACTAAGTACATTTAAAAAAAATTAAACATTGAAAGTAAAAAAAGCTGAGGATGTAGCTTAGGGTAAAGGTAAATCCCAGAATCAGTTTTAAAAAAGAAAGCCAGCTGTAATTTTTTTCCCATTCTGTGGGTTGTATCTTCACTCTATCATTTCTTTTAAAGTGCAAAAGCTTTTTAATAAGGCAAGACCCCACTGTTGATTCTCTGAAATATTTCCCTTGGGTTTTGTTCATGAGGTCTCTGCCTACACCTATGTCTTTGAGATTTCTGCCTATTTCCTTGTCCAATAAATTTAGTATTTTTATTTTCATACTTAGATCTTTGATTCATTTTTTACTTTAGTACGTGGTGACAGACATGGGGTTAATTTAGCCTTTGGCATGAGGAAAGCCAGTTTTTCCAGTACCACTTGTAAAGAGACTGTCTTTCTTCCAGTGAACAGGTTTGGCCCCTTTGTCAAAGACAAGGTAGCTGAGTGTGTTTGCAGTTGTGTCTGCATCTCCTTTTCCATTGATCCTCGTGTCTGTTTAGGGTTGGTTTGTTTTGGTCAGTACAATGCTGATCTTATCACAGTAGCTTTATAATATAATTTCAAGTCAGGGATTGTGACCCTCCTGCCTTGCCTTTATTGCCAAGAATTTCTTTTGCTATTCCAAAAGAAGTTTCTAATTGTTTTCTCTAGTTCTGTGAAGTATGTTAGTGGTATTTTGATTGGATTGCATTAAACTGTTCAACAGTTTAGGAAGTATGGCTATTTTCACTATGTTGGTTCTTCCTGTCCATGAACAAGGGATTATTATTATTATTATTATTTTTAGTACTGGGGATTGAACTCAGGACCTTGCATTTGCCAGGCAGGTGCTTAAGCCACTGAACTATCTCCC